AAATATCAAAAATCCAGAAATTAAGGAAGTTGTGCAAATAATGAAAATTTAAATTAATGTGATTTTAAAATGCGGAAGTTGGAAAGTATCATTTTTACATTTCTGCGCCATTAACAGTCAAGTTAGCGCTTTTATGACTGTGGATAACTATGTTCAAAAATAGTAAAGAAACAGTAAAGTCAATTTTACAAGAATTTGTCTGTCCGACCATAAAAATTTAAAGTGATTAATAGCTGCATCTTGTCTACAGTAATTGACACTAAGGAACTAAACAGCACTTTCTATTTATCAGAAATGGCAGGTTACACYCAGAGAAAAAAACATCATTAGTGATCATTCTTGTTCAGTTAGAAGACCGAAATCTTAAATTTTATTTGCTATTTGAATGGAAAATGCTAATAAAAAATAACCAAAAAAAATCTTGAAAAAAGGACATTATTTACTGCTAAATAGACAGGTTTGTCTGGCCTGTTCTGCCTTAAGTTAATGGAAATCGCACTAAAATTTGGTAAAACAGCATTTTTATATTAGAATAATCAGGTGTTTTTTAAAATCTAGGAAATTTGTTGGAAAATGTTTTTGTTTGTGACATTGTTTGAGGACTCATTACAATGACATCATCACATTATGGCATCACCTCTTGATCTTCAGGTTCATAGTGAACAAGCTCATCAATCTCTTCTTTTGGAACTCTAAACAATAAATAATACAAAAATAACACTCAGACAAGAAATGACACAATATATTCATTCCACAATATTGGAATATTGCACAATACCAATTAATTCATTACTAAGGTATATATTATGTAACTTTACTTAATACCTAAAAAATAAAATGCAATAAGTGCAATGGATTTAATACCTAATATTCAAATATAAGTACATTGTACTTTGTTCATRATACCTATACACTATATGAAAAACGTTTGGGACTGGTAACAAATTATTAACATGAAAACGAGATCCGTCGGGCCTTGGCGGCTTTTCCCAACCATAATTATTTTCTTGTAAATATGGCAGTATTTGGTCGAAGTGTTTCAATTAATTTGTCGGAAAATGATATTCCTGGTGTGGCAATTAATAGTTGAAAACCATCTCTCCTGAAGACAGATAAGACAACAACTTCAGAGTCGGTTACAAGATGAAGATCTAAATCAGACTTCATCTTCAGTTAGTTATCCTACAGCTGGCTGGTCAACCTATTTAACATGTATGCACCTTTATTCTCTAGAGCAGAATTGGACGAACATAGTTCACAAGTGTGGTAAAAACATAGATCCCAAAAGCAAAAATCATTCTATSCCAACAGGTTTGAAGAAAGCTAAAACTTACTTGGAGGACGAATACTTAAAAGACATAGTTTGTAACAGCGACGTAAAAAATTTCTATTTCAAGAGCTCTTGTTATCACAGCTACGATTCCCCACATAGTTTAAAAATAGCACTATGTATTGTAACAGCTTTTGTGAAGCATGCATACTGCACCTGTGTAGCAGGACAGGGTTTTTTTGCAAACATGTTCTGGGGCGGATGCTAAAGATCTGCAGATTTGGTGTGTATAAATGCAATGTTATTAAGTGAGCACAATGATGAAGAYGACATGACTCAGAAGCTTGCACCTCTAGCCTACAGATGTGGCACAGAACTGGAGGGGAAAATATCAAGGCCCAGCCAGTTATGGAAATTGCTGTTAAAAAGACCAAGCTTGATTCAAATTCTAAAGATGTGAACTTCAATATAGGAACAACATGCCTTTTGTATGAACAAGAAAAAGCATAAGTCAAGAAAAGGGGAAACAAACTCCCATAAACACTTTTAATAAAATCAATCCATTGAGCTATATATTGACACCTGGAAAGGAAGGAAACAGCATAGACACAAAATTTGGAAAAGCTGAAAAAGGATCTTATTCTAGCTACCAACTCCAGCTAACTTCTCAGTCTCGTGCAATTTATCACCTGTGTCAAGGAATGATAGAGAYACAAGGCTACACTCTTATCCTCCTTTCCCCTTAAAAAACACAAAGTGTCTTTACCAAACCAGATAACTTGAACATTAATCAGGATAAAATCTTAAAATTGTTGATGAGAAAAAAAGCTAAATGACATACTAGAAAAACATTCAAAGGCAACAATCACTTTCAGATAAATGGAAAACAGAAAGGAAATACAGATTTAACAAGTTCTAACTTTTAAGTATTTTTTGAAGACAAAAATCAAATCTTTTTTTTTAATAATTAATTAATGAGTTACTAGGCCAATAGAATGAGCCTATTTGGTCACAATTAATGAGCTAATGATAATGATAATTAATGATAATGATAATGATAATTAATGAGTTACTAGGCCAATAGAATGAGCCTATTTGGTCACATGCATGGACCTTTATATCTGATAAAACACTCCTTATTAGTATTCTTTATATAAAGAATACTACATGTAATAAGGGTGACCTTTATCAGATATAAAGGTCCATGACCCTAGCAAAGATCTCAGGTTTGAAACCTGATCATTGACGAATGCAGGATGTCAACTGATTTCAGTGAACAGCCAAGATTATTCAATGTGGGATGTAAGTGCTTTGAGTGCTTTGTAAAGTGATTCGCACATGATCAGTTTGCCCCATTTATCTCTGAACATATTTGTACGGCAATTTCTCCAAGAATTTTAACGGATTTGAGTTTCAAATTAGTGTTGGAGTTTTTTAAGCCGTTTAAAACACTCGGGAGATTGTTTTATCAGGTATAAAGATTCTCGCCTTCGACTCGAATCTTTATACCTAATAAAACACTCTCTCATGTTTTAACTCCTTAAGTGCAATATATGACACACTTATAATTAGTACGTCATAAAAACTGTATACCATGTGCCTATATGCCGTACTCAGTATGTCCAAATTTGTAGTGTTTTAGTTAAATCTTCGGCACATTGTTGGCACTTGATTCCGGCATATCAAAATCAACTGTGTTTCTTGAGAGACTGGACACTAGTATGTGAATTACGTGGATTGCATGAGCCTTCATCAAAATCAAGGTCTAGAAATAAACTTCTTGTAACAATCAACGCAACAATGCAAAAGCATCTTAAAATTCCTTATTAGACACTTATTAAATCAGATATGCCGCAAAATAAAGAACATTTCCAGGCAGACCAGGTGAGCTGCATTTCTAATTGGCCAGTTGGTTGACCTTTCTTGACCGCCATGAAAGATGATGGTTTGATGTTTACACAACTTTATTGCTTGATTTCTCGTTTCGTGTTTTTCATGGGGTAGCGAAGTTTAAAAGAGTCCTAGCCTGAGTATCAGGCTTTCTCGAAGGGGTTTAGGGCGGAGCGAGAAAGTAACGTGTGATCAATGAGGTCGAAGGCTTTCTTGAAATCAAGTATAAATGCACGAACATCATTACTTTGACCATCTGTACACTGAGACCAGTTATGGACCATGTTTATAAGGGCATGTGTTGTTTGATGATTTGGGTTTGCAACCAAATTGGTCTAGATTAAGGTGGAGAAGTACTGCAGGTTTTACATAGTATTATATGATGAGATCTTCAGAAACTTTGGATAATGTTGGTGTTAGTGAAATTGGTCTAAGATAGGTGTTGATGTCCTTGACATTGGTTATTTTGGAAGAGGGCATACATCTGCGCATTTCCAGATAGAGGGTAAAGACCCATTAGACAGAGAAAAGTTGATGATGTCACAGAGCGGTTGTGCTAATTCATATGAAAATTCCTTGAGTACCCAGTTGGGTATGTTGTCAGGTCCTCCTGCTTTGCTGACGATTGTAGAATTGAGGACCTTTTCAACGATGTCAACAGTAAAAACCGGGGCTAAAAGGCCATCTGTATTTACATGGAAATCAGGATGTAGTGGTTGAAAATTTTCTTGGGGCTCTAAGAAAGCATCGTTAATCTTGTTTGCAAGTGATTGTATACTATCTTTAGATGGACAGTTATCAGATAGAAGTTTAGAAACTAGATCAGGTGTTGATTTCTTCATACCGCACATTCGTCTGCATTCCGACCACCATTTCTTGGTGTCTGTCTGGCTTGTTTAGAACAGGGTTTGGGTACTCTGACTGATATAAATTTCTTGGTTGGCTTGTCTTTAGATCGCTGTTTAGGTCCCATTATTGCTGTGCAGTGGTCAGATAGCCCGAAGGGGGGACGTTTTTCAGGTGTGGTGTAGTGATTATACATATTTGTTAAAATAAAATCTAAGGCTCAGTTTCCTCTAGTTGGAAAATCGTAAAACCTGACGAAGGTGGAATTGATCACGCAATTGTTTTATATTTGCTCCATTAAAGTCTCCGGCTATCAAAAGCCCAGTATTTGGATGTGAACATTCAAYGTTTGTGAGGGTGTCAAGTAGATATTCGATGAGATTTGCGTCATTTGCAGAAGGTGGGTGGTAAATAACTCCTGTTATCAAGTGATTGTAACCACATGGTAGTCGATTTGGTGACAGCTTAATCCATAGCGCCTCGCATCGGTCTTGGGTCTTCTAGACGAATAGATTGGAGGGTGTTTTTAACATAGATRCAAACGCCTCCATGCTGAAGCTTGGATCTATCCATTCGATAAATATCATAATTGTTGATATCAACTACAGAGTCATTGATGGTGTCTTTTAACCAGGATTCAGTAATACACATCAGATCTAGGTTTTCTTGGGAAAGGAAGACTTTCATTTCATCTATTTTTTGGGCGAGGCTCATAACATTAGAAACACCAATARATGGGACAAAATGATAACTGGGAGAATTGCTGATGTGAATCCRCGATTGGATAAATTCTTTCTGAAACTGTAGATCGATTGCAAGGAGAAGTGACATTGATCACTGYTGAGATGTCTTGAATACTTGTTCRATTCACTTTGTTATTCTGGTGAATTCCCATGGGCAAACTAACTTGAGCACCATTGTTTTCCAAGATGTTGGTTTGAATATTTAATGATTTAGGTTGGTTTTCAGTATTTTTCARAATATTTTCCTTGTAGATAGGATTACTATGTGTTGGTCTGCACACTTGTTGGCTCGTATGGTTGGCCATCTTTTTTTTTCATTTCAATAAAAAAGCAGCACATGCAGACATTTAACTCATCAGCAGGTATGTTTTCAATCACTCTTTCTTCTCCAATTGAGATTAGAAACCGATTCCAAATGTTTATATTGTACAATGTTTTCTTTTTAGTGTTGTCAGGACGTTGTTTTTCGATGAAATCTTGCACTGTTTCCATATCAAATTGTTGCTCTTTGACAGGATATTCAAAGGAAATGTTCTTAATACTTGAGTCATTCTCGTSTGGGTAATAAAACTCACTTTCATCTTCATGTAGCTCYATTTTTTCTCAAGTGACAAGTAAAAAAAATAGYGACGAAGCGATGCTTTTGAATTTTCTGCAATTTTGCTCATAGGATACCATCGGACCGGGCAGATCRTGAAAAAACCAGACTGCGCGCTAGCCAATCAGAGCGCACGAATGACTAGGATACTGGACCGAAAAATAAATTGTACTTTTGACTATACGGCCAAACATTTTGACACTGAACTCTTGCAAACAAGGATACCTATCTTTAGTTCGGAGCGTTGAAACGCTTGAAACGCGTTCTGAATAAGGACTATGGTCATAAAAATTACATAGAATAAGAGATACATTAATTTATATTCTCTGATAATTCAGCTTTTATATGACATATAATACTTTATTAAAGCGTGAGATCCAACCCGCCAATGATTTTTCAACGAACAGACTCCRCGAAGGGCCACGRTAACCTTAATGACTTTTAAAGGACCAAAATTGTATTTTCAAGGAACATGCTAATTGTACATTCTTACCTCGCAACTTCAGCCAAACAGAATAATTCAGAGATTGCTAGCGCTTTGTGATRGAGAATTATCKTTTTTTAGATTTGAATTAAAGATGCACTTGGGAGGTTGACAGCTGAGCACTCACACTTTTTTCCATGCTCAGCAACCTCTCACATGCATCATCTATAACCTGCCATAGATGACACTGATAATATATGTAGATAGTGAAATTATATGTGATGTTTCAATTACAAACCTAACAGTTTTAAACTGCCTTTCATACTGCCACATACAGGTAGGGATGGTATTGCGTATTGTTAATGGTTCCAGTGTTTCTGCCTCAACCTCCTGTCTGTAGTTCAATATAAAGTAACATATTGCAGCAGCCCTGGAATGAAATTTCAATCAGTAAATAGAGAGCAATGTATYATTTTTAAATTGCTTTAAATGCTCGACGGACCTTTTAGGGTCGAAAATAAAACCCTTAGCAAACCTTTTAGGGTCTTAAGCTGACTCCCTACCTTTTAGGGTCAATTTTCGAAGAACGAAAAGGAAAAAAATTGAAGTGTTAATAAATAAATAGATTTAATTAACCTCAACAATCTATCGACATTGATTTTCTACAGTTTGTTAAACTTGAGCTTCTATCTTGTTAAAGACGTCAAAAATGGTGATACCTTTTAGGATCTGGAATCGATGTCTGTCGAATTACTTTATGCATACCTTTTAGGGTCATTTTTAACTYGAAGATTGCGAAGCAATCAAAGAGTTATAGGAGAGAGATAGATGATGAGGTGAGGTGGACTAGTTAATAGGTCACTTATTCTTTCTGTAAACATACAAAATGTGATTTTTGAGGTCTGGACGTTCTTGTATAAGCTTCTTACTAATTAATCTGTTGATTTCAGAAGTCGTTTTAGGAGATATCGTGTCAATATGGCTCATAGATACGATGATTTCAAGGATTATCCCGATCCTTTGTCGATCAGTAATTAACGCTCATCGATTCATATAAACTTTATCCTTCGTAAAAAATTGATGCACAGACGACAYAAATTTCTGCAATGATATTAAGTCTGCTCTTTCGACGACAAATACCATAGACAACGTATTGTAGGAAAAAGAAATGTTGGAATAGCATTATTACATTATTTCATAACCAAGATAGAACCAAGGGTATACTGTGTYGCGTGTTTGTTTACATTGTTTGACCTTTGCTTAATCGGCTACATGATCAGTTTCAAAACGGAAATGTTGTGACATTTGCTCAGAATATACTCCCTTGCRAGTCAAAAGGATAACAAAATATTAAAAAATGCTAGTCTTTGTAAATTGATACGCAGTTCTTCAGCTTTCTACCTTGTCATGCACTAATGAGTGCRACTCGAATACTCATTGTACCTCAGTTGAAACTTTTGTCTGGTGTCAAATCCTAACCACATCGATTCAGAGCATGAAATTTCAGTAGTACTAGTACACCCAATGATAACCGGCAATCATTGTACTTCAAAAGTGCATCTCATACAAAACTCTGTAAWAAAAATAAGTACTAACCCTAACAACAAATAGTTTTCAGGAAATTAAAGAACAATAGTTTCTTTTTATTATTGGAGAATTTCATATTAATCGTCAGCATATTTAGTCTGGAGTGGGTTCCAAAAGTAAGCCCAAACACAGATCAATTCGGTCTTGAAATTGGCCTAGTTAGCAGCAAAATCGAAATTATTTTTGTAAAAATCGCTAGAAAAAAAATTCCGTCAAACTTTTTATAGTATTTTTTCCTTTAAAAGAACCCTAAAAGGAAKGATTTGGTCAAATAAAAAAATATTCAAATATTTCGAACTGACTTGGATTCTCGATTTTTACAGACATCTGCTCCAAGATTTGGTCCCCCAAAGATTTCCAGAGAATTTATAGTCGTAATACTGAGGAATTTTCAATAAAACATCTCAGTCTGTTAAAGGCGTGTAAAACAAACTTAAAACACTAAAATGTCCTAGAGAACATTAAAATGYGTCTACTGTCTGTAAGTAAGTAGCACAGTGAATGCTRAATCAAAACTTACATGTACAACCATGGATTAAATTTATAAGCATCTAAAATGTGTTCTATAAACAACAGAATACTAAAATAGAAAAGCCGATTTTAGATTTATGCAAATTAGCTATAGTTTTTTTTTTGGCTTTTTTGCAAGTTTTCTCATAGATAAGCCACACCCTCATTTGGGAACGATTTTTTGGGAAAAAGTGTGGCTTATACGGTACTTCAATTTTATGAAGTACAATAGAGAATGAACAAGTTTGAGAAATTTAAAAYCAGTTTGAAAAATTAACATTTAATCTTAACACCACAGTGAAATATGACACAATACCCCTCAACTTGTGACCTTCAATCAAATGAGAGATTAGGTGAAAACGCTGCAATTCAAGTTGATTGTGTGTTGAAAATTGTGAACAAAAACAATTTTTTTRCAGCAAGRTCAGGTGCCAACTTTGCTCAATAATATTTTCAAAGCTGAACATTTTTTTGACAAAGTCGTGASATGAAAAATTCACAACATTGATCAAAAAAACCTGCAATGCAAGAAAGTTTCACAACAATTTAAGGGTTTTGTGTATCATATTTCACCACCTTTAGGTACCTTGATGGCTGCTCTCTAGTGGGATACCAGCCCTGATCCATACCATAATAATTGCTGTTGATTGGTAAAGGTGAACGTCCCATCAAATACACATACTTCTCCCACCAGTCTGTATGGTAGTTTGGAGCCCACCATGACTTGAGCTGAAGGACAAACTGTAGCTTGGGACCCAAAGTCTTCTCAAAATCCTTTAAAATAAATTGATGGCATTTAGTACAAATACATGACAATGTACATAAACCAACATACAAAAATTCTTCTCACTAATATATAATATATAATTATACTACAGCTATTTGCAATAATTCTGATGCACCTACATGYACACGTACATTTATATTCATATATCAAACTGACCTATAATATTATGGGATATCATGACTGGTATATTTTTTTAGTTGTCCACAATGAGTATTTTGCATTCTAAAAAAATATCAGCAATGGTATCCCATAATTTCTAAGGCTACTTTCATAATTGCCAACGAGCTAGCCAAGCGCAGCATCATAGAGCCGATGCACGAAAGGTTATGGAGAACAAAGCTCGATTCGATTCGATTAGATGTGATGTGATGTAATGTAACAATGGAATTACGAGTTTTATACCAATCAGGGCATACAATAGAACTCAACCAATCGGAGCACACAATAGAACTCCGATCTAAACCAATCGGAAGTCACGATAGTTTCGTGGTCCTGGCATCATGGCGAAGACGACAAGTCGCTTGCAAGTCGTCAAAGTACACCATAGCTAAAGGAAGAAACTGTTGAAGTTAAAGTACTGAAAAGACCATAAACGGTGAGTAAATTAGGTTGCTTCTGTAGGTACCAGAGTACAGATGACGTAATTCAATAGAAACAGAAGCTTAAAACAAAGAAGCAGATTCTAAACAATACCCGAAATACAATAAAACCTAACCAGAATACAATAGATTCTGTTACACACAGAAAGGCCCATAAATTAGGTCTCTGTTYCTTCATTTTGTTGTATTGAACTGTGTACACTTCCTAAGAGTGTTTTTAGTCAATCTTTGAACCAGCGTGTTCAATAAACTTGAGTACCAAAACGAACCAACGCGTTAAAAAATAAGCCAACATGCCATTGCACTRTTTGACAAACTGTCAGTTAAACTATCTAACAAGAGCACAGAGTACATTTCATTGAATTCTCACATTGATTAAGGTATTTCGATCGTAATAAATAGCGTTTCCCATGTAGTTTTTTCATTTAACATTCAAATATTGTCACAAACGAGGACTTTAAACATGGCCTCATTGTTTTGAGAAACATTTTAAAATGCTCAAATATCTCGAAAATTTAGTCCTACTTCTGTCATTTAAGCGTTTTGTTTTTCAAAATTTTCCATAAAGATCTCATGCTACGGCTTTCTCTTTGGACACGTGATTCAGAACACGTGTTTTAACCGGATTTTTGCACGCAATGAATTCTGGGAGAAGTCTACACACGCCGTGAGCAATGATTCCGTCCAATCTGAAATAGAAATTTATAGAAAGTCTACAGCCTTCTCGGAAATCTGCCAAAATT